CGAACTAATGATATCCACATTTTTTTGACCAAATGGATAAGGTTGTTGATTTCTTAATTATTAAGAAAGACTCCATCCATGAATACAAAGGAGGTTGAGAAATTCAAGTTTTCTTTCTCCATTTACTTGACAAGCCAAATGTGTAGAGAATTGTAGCAAATGAAGGTAGTAGAACTTTGACTCTTCCAAGCAATTATGGAGGTTAAAAATCTCTATAAATATGGGCAAGAGTTTGAGAGAAAATTGTGTGCCATATGGAGAGGAAAAATTAAGAGAGAAAATTGTAAGGAAGAGAGAAGAGAAAAGAGAAAATTTATTGTTTTTTCCTACTTGTTTTCTCCTAATTACAAGAGAGATTGATTGTTGTTATCTTCTTGTATTTAGAGAGTGTGTTGTAATTCTTCTACTTTAGTGAAATTCTCCTATACTTGCCCGTGGACATAGCTTAAATTGGGTGAACGACGTAAATACCTGTGTCCATTTTTAGCCGTGTTTTTTCAATTCCATTATTTATCAGCCAAACTCGACCCACGCGTTTTCTCCTCAACAGTGGTATCAGAGCCAAGTTCTGTAAAGGGTCGTTGTTCAATCGTAGTATTGGTGAAAAATGGCGACAAAATATGAGATTGAAAAGTTCAACGGAAACAATTTCTCATTATGGAAAATGAGAATAAAAGCAGTTTTGAGAAAAGATAACTGCTTGGCGGCAATTGGACAAAGGCCTGTGGAAATCATTGACGATAGTAAGTGGAACGAGATGGATAGCAACGCAGTTGCTAATCTGCACCTTGCACTAGCCGATGGAGTATTGTCAAGTGTGGCGGAGAAAAAGATAGCCAAAGAGATATGGGATACGTTGACAAAGCTGTACGAGGCCAAATCGTTACACAACAAAATATTCTTGAAGAGGAAGCTTTACACCCTTCAGATGATGGAGTCAACTTCGGTGACCGGCTACATCAACACCCTCAACACTTTATTTTCACAGCTCACATCAATGGAGCATAATATAGAGGCAGGTGAACGTGCTGAAATCTTACTTCAAAGTCTACTAGATTCGTATGATCAACTCATCATCAACTTGACCAACAACCTTGAAACTCTAGTCTTCGATGATGTTGCAGCTGCTGTTCTTTAAGAGGAAAGTAGACGCAAGAACAAGGAGGACAGATTGAAAAGTTCGAATCAGGCAGAACTTTAACGATGTTGAGAGGGAGATCAACGGAATGTGGCTCCAGTGGGAGTCATAATTAGAGTAGATCAAAATCCAGGAGTAAGAAAAATGTCAAGTGTCATTACTGTGGCAAGAAAGGGCACTTAAAAAGGGATTGTTAGAGTCTCAAGAAAAATGAAGAAGTTAAAGGAAAAGGTCTTGAGATATCAAAAGCTCAGGGTTGTGTAGCAAGTACCTCAGATGATGGTGAAATTTTATATAGCGAGTGATATGATCCAGGAGTCGAGCCCGATGAAGGAAAGTGCGAGACGAGACCCGTTGATAGTTGATGGTGGACCAATGACGCGATCAAGGGCAAAGCAAGTGAAACAAGCGATGAGATTGCTCGTTTAAGAAACCATTGATGGAACCATGTTCGGGACTCAAAATCGAGCAACTTTCATGTTCGGGTCGAAGACCGAATCAACTTGGATCAATTTAATATCGAAGGTCGAAGACGGAGGAAATTAAGCCTATGCGACTTCATAGGCTTATCAGGCTTGCGACCGCATGGAGGCATACCGAAACTCGCGAAATTCCTAATTTTGGCAATTTTTCATATTTTGTTAGTTTTTGATTCTTTTCCATATTTTGGAGATTATGATAGACTTTTGCACGATTTTTACCTAGTTTTTAGGTTTAGTATAAATAGGATTTTCCATTCAATTGTTAAAAACTTTTGACATTATTGATATTGAATTAAAGTGAGG